CAAGGCTTACTACTTCCATCTTAATTCAATTCATAATCCATTCTAGGACTATCAATTCAACAATACTTCCATATTCTTATCAATTCATCTCCCGCTTACTCTCTTTGTAATTTATATATATTCAATTAGTAATCTTGAGCTTACCTATTGTATTCAGTTTTTCAATTCATCACACACAATTCAATATCTCAACTTACGACTCTCGCAGTCTGGCCCTTAGCTTACGACTCTCACAATCTGGCTCTCGGCTTACAACTTTCACGGTCTGGCTCTGATCTCTCTTTCTTCAACATCTTTATCCTACCAAAAAGATGATCCGTCAGCGAGTGAATTCCAAAGGTTATGACCCTTTGAATTCTTAACCATTTATTCCACTAACAACCTACTGTTACCAACTAAACTACCTAATCATTAGTCTAATTCTCAAGGTTATCAATAACCAACCAGTAACTTACCACAAAGTTTATTTACCTATTGTATAGGTCTCATGAATAATATTACCTAAAGATAAATATTGACCATCTATTACATCTACATATATAGATTTTGATTTCTGTACTAGAAGAATTTTATGAAGTTTGAAAAACTCCTTATTTCAAAAGTAAGCAAATTCTCTTGAATCTAATAAGCCATTTGTTTGAATTTTTTGTAGATCAAAAAATAAACATATAGTAAATAACAAGTAGGTTGGACATAGAAAATAAACCTTAATAAATTTGAGGAGTTGAAATGTCTAACCACACAATCCCTATTATAATTGGTCATCTTTGTGTTTGTGAACAATTGCACCCTTAATCTTGGTTGTAAGTTGTTTCTTAAAACAATTTTTAGATTTGTGGCCTTCTTCACCAAAATATAAGCATAAACCTTCTTTAAATTGATGCTTCTTTTTCTTTGTTGTAAAAAAATTGAATTGTATTGCATCAATTTGTATATTGTCAACTCCAAAGTATGGAATTAATATATTTGTTGAAGTAGCAAAGTATGAATTTTCAATAGATTGCTTTATCAAAGTTCACAAGCATTGATTTTGATAGCATTGAAATTATCAATTATCACACTTTACAACTTGGTTGATAGCTTTATTGAATGTTTGAGGATTAGTTAATGATAGTAATTGGTCTTTTACATCATCTCTTAGTCCTCAATAGAATTGGCTTATAAAAGCTTATTCATCTCAATTGATGTTATAAAAAAATTATCAAAAATAGATGCATAAATTGACATAGAATGTGATCCTTGACATAATGAGCAAATCTTTATTGTTATCCATTGATCTTTGTCATGTTTTTCAAATGCCTCTACAAATGCTCCTATAAAAGCTTCAAAGTTACTCAAGATTGGACATCTCTTCTCAAATATAAGAGCAAATTAAAATAAAGCTTGTCTTATGAGCAAGGTTCCAACTCAATCAACTTGTGGTTCTTCTGTTGGATAGCACTTAGATTGTAGAAAAGTTACCAATTGTCTTTAGTTAACAAATCCTTGAAACTTTGAGCATGTACTATCAATTTTTTTAGAAGACTAATTTGAGGTTTTTTACATTGTTGAATAGGAGAATTTTCATCTTGAGGTAAAAATGCCACCACCTCTTTGGATATAGAAGCTTGAGAAAGTAATTGAATCACAAGGTGACCTACTTGAAGTCTTACATCACCATGAAATCTTACAAAAAATTCCTCAATTTCAACAATTCTACAAGCTAAAGCATTCAGTGTGTTCATAATAATATCGAAGTTGGACTCAAGAGACTCAACCATAATAACATCTTCACCTCTAGCCATCTTCAAAATAAATAAATAAATAAATAAAATAAATAAATTCTAAAACAATACCAATTTAGAAGAAAATACTCTACAATCTCTAAAGCATTTAGATGCCTTTAAGAAGAAGGATAATCTATTTTTTATCAAAAAAGATCAAGTTCTAGTATTGATAAGAGTGCAGTCTAGACAAACTATCATGGATATATTATACTAGAGACCAAAGAAGAAATTGAACAGAAGAGTTTCAATGAGAAAGCTAACAAGAACTTGATTTAACAAATTGAATACAAGATCAACACCAAAAGAGGTGAACTAGAATTTCAAGAGATATGTTGTCCAAACTAAAAATCTTTTGAACCTTGATTCCAATATATATTAGGTATTAGAAAGCTTCTCAAGAAGTTTTTATGTTGCTTGAAGATGAAGCACCTTTAGAAAGTTCTTTGAAAAATTCTCATGTTGCTTGAAGATGAAGCAACCTTAGGAAGTTCCTTGAGAAGTTCTCATATTGCTTGAAGATGAAGCAATTCTAGAAAGCTTCTTAGAAAATTTCTTTAATCCTCTTAGAACTTTTTGGAACCTCTTAGAATATTTTTAAAACATCTTAGAATCTTTTAGAAAATTTAGAACCTTTTAGAAACTAATAAAATATTCTTATAATATTTCTAGAATCTTTTTGTTGGATGTCCATAACACTTTGTGTATTTTCTTCTTCTTTCATTATACTTTGATAATTTGACCATGAAGCAATCTTCAAATTACAATAATTCTTCCTTATTGCAAGTCAAGAAGAGAGAGAAAATCCAAAGCAAATCCTTCTTCATTGTTATAGGCCAAGAAAAAAACCCTTCCCATAGTTGACATATAATTAAGAAAGACGACCAATTAAGTTTAAGTATTTTATAATAAGATATTAGTGATTGAAAAAAATATTGTATAAAACATAATGCAAGTGATCAAGTAGAAGAATAAATTAATTTTACAAAAAGAATATTATAATTATGTAGTTGTCATAAGCATTAAGATCAATTGCCTAATTTTGTAGATTCATGAGGGCACTTATGAATTTTTGAGCTTTAGCATCTTTCAAGCAAGGATATCTATCATCTCTCATCTTTTGTTGTCTTTAATTGAAGGCACTTGTTATTGTTGTATCATATGAAACTAATCCAAAAATGCACTAGGCATCTAATAGAAGAAGGTAAATTGTATTTGCAACAAATAAAGAATCTAACAATTATAATAAACTCTAAACAAAACTTAATTGAACAATCTCAATAAATTCTAAATAAAACTTAATTCTAAACAATACAAACTTCTAAAAAAACTTATTTAAATCTTAAAAATTATAATCAATCTTTAATCAAATCCTAGAGAATCTTTAAAAAATCTTAAAAGAATCATTAGAAATTTTATAAAAAATATCAAAGAAATTATAAAAAATATTAAAAGAAATCTTAAATAAATTCTAAAAAAATCATAAAGAATGTTTTTAAAATTTTATGAACAAATCCTACAAAAATTGTAAAAAAAAAAAAAAAAAAAAAAAAAAAAAAAAAAAAAAAAACTTAAAAATGTATAATGAAATCTTGAAGAAATTTTGAAGTAAAAATCCGAAAGAATTTATAAATAAATCCAAAAAATACCTTGATCAATCTTAAGAAAATCCTAATCAAATTTTAAATAAATCCTAATAATCCTAATAAAATTCCAATAAAATTTATGCAAAGATTCCAAATTAAATTTTCTTTATTGTAATTGTAGGACTAACTACAAGAATTGTGAAAGCTTCTCCAAATATGAAAATGTTATGTATTTTTTTTTTAGTATAAAACTATAGTTTGTATCTATGAATTTCATATAATGCACTTAAAAAGTAGCAATAATAATCAACAAGTTAAAACAAGGAAACATATTATAATAAGCATGTTTAGGTAAAAAAAACATTAAGCTTCTAATAACTTATTATACAAGTTATTTTAATATTTTCTTAAGAATAATAACTAAGTCTATGAAAAATACTTAAATACTAATATTTTTTTTTTAAAAATTAGAATAATTTTTTAAATGTTTACATATTTATATCTTTAATCAATATCTATAAATATAATTAAAACTTGATATATTAATGTAGTTTTTCTAATAGAATAATTTCAAACTACAAGTTTTTAGTCCATGATTATAATCTATAATTTATTTTGATCTAACATTTTAAGTTTTAATTATATATTTTAAAAAGTATCACTTCAATATTATTAAATAGAATATGTAGATTTGAATAATTGAAGCCATTTCGTTTTACCTCAATAAAATGGTATTTTAAAATGTTTATAACTAACATATATATATATATATATATATATATATATATAAAATTATAACACACCTAAGATTTCAATAATACAACCTTAATATAATAGTTTATAGATTATTTTATTTTAAATTTTAGTGTTGTCAATTGTTACTTATTAATTTATGCTTTAATAAACATAGCATAGATCTCATATTATACATATGTATAACTTTGATTTACATATTTTTTTAAAATAAAAATAGAAAAAGATATCATAAAAAATAATTGCATTCTTTGTATAATGTTAAAATGTTAATAACAAATAGTAATTAGCTCTATATTTTAATTTTACAAAATTACATTAATTTTTAAATTTTAAACCGAATTATTTATAATTGATTATAAATATTAATTAAATTATTTAAATATAAATGTTATTCCAATTTTAGTTATTTATATATTCAATCATCCTCAGTCAACATAACCATCAATGTTAAGGTGACAATGAAGGAGCTCAAAAAGGGCCTCCCTTCACTAGAGCCACTGAATGGCTCAACGACCAGGTACTGTGCAACATCCTACAGAGTGTGGGGCGATGAAACATGGCACCTTCGATGTTGTCCACTAAATTTAGACTCCAGTGTGGCTGCAGCCTGCTATGTTGCATGCGATATTCCTGTAAGCTTAACCTTGTACTGTCATAACCGAGTGACGTTACCTCATTGACTATGAGTATCGGGTGGTTAAAAATTGGCCTGATACTTTCTTCATGATGAGTTAATTTATGTGTCTTGGTGCTACATTCCCCATCCCTAATGCAATTCGCCAGGCACAGTTGCATAAAGTGAAACCAAATAGCGTCATACAGCCATTTCTAGATCTACTTCATGAAGTCTCATACTTTGTAGCCAACATAGAGTTATCACGCCAGTAACAAGAAGTGCACACGATAGTGCGTGCTTAAATGAGCAAACGCATGAGTGATGAAAATTACTGGGAATCAACACAAAGCACTTGGCATCTCAATGATAGCCTATTTACCAGCTTCCAAATCTGAGACACCCATGCCGAAGGACTTTCATTTGTTCAAGAGGATAACGAGATGCACTCGGATGGATTTTAGATACAGGCCACTCGCTCTCTAGCATAAAATATCATCTGAACTTGAACACAAGACACTATCTCCCTATGTACCAAGCGGTAAACCTTCACAACTCACTGCGAGGACAAAATAAAGGCCACACCAACAGACAACCTCATGATCCTCGTCAGGTAGTGAAGTTCACTCCAGATAGAACTCCCTCGCACCGTAGGACTTCAGATGAAGTAAATCATGGTCTCAAAGAAACAACAGGCTAATCCTGCATAATTAGTGGTCGGAGTGCGGACTAAGTCCTGGGTCTAACCCTCCTACCCCCGGCATCGGCTCCGTCAGATAACTGGCCCCAAACACTACGATTTCGATTAGAGGTTACACCTGTACCGACGCCTTCTTCGTAAACACCAGCGACTGTTTTTAACAGCTCAGACTGCAACGTGGGACAACTATCGCGAAGGTATTCAAACCCCTCAGAGTGCATCACAGCAGCAAGGTTTGAGGCTGCAAACTTCAAACAAACCGCCTTAAGCTCTGCGGCGTGATGATGCTCTGCAAGGGCAAGAGTCGTCGCCACGGTATCTACACTGACATTCTCGCACAACTTGGATTCGCATAGTAATCGAAGTCGATCTAGGCCATACCTATCTGCTGCAGCCAAAAGGTGCTGGGCTAACAGAGTGGATGTTGACGGTGCTCCAATAAGCTCTTTCGTATCAGGTAAAGAATCTCGATAGATAAAATGTAGCAGCGCTTTAAACACCTGCCAGAGAACGACCAGTTAGCATATACTCCAAGTCCTCGTCAGTGTTTAACAACAAAATCCTAGCCATTGCAATAATATAAAACAACCCAAGGACTCAAGAGAAAGAAATAAAACAAACCCAGCATTTTCAGCAAGAAGAAATATAAATGACCTGTAAACGTCGTGTTCAAATCCCCCAGATGAGTATTAGGTGACTATGCTTAAAATTAACCTAAATAACTTCGCATGCGTGGACTATGAACTATCAATGGTTGTCCACACGACTGGTAATTACGGACACATCTCCAGATACCTAAATCCAGTAAGCTATACCGATAAGGGGATAGTGCCAGAAATACTCTACTCAACACACTAAGCTTCAAACAGGTTTCAGGACACAGCTTACATCTGGACCTAGAAGTCAAAAACGGACCAAGCCATAAACCTACTGCATAAATTACAAAATCAACTGTTTCCTAGAGTAGCTTAAAAAAATAAAAAAAAAAAACGTTGGAGCAATGTGCCAATTACTCCACCACAATCATCGAAGAAAAAAACTATGTGTCTCAAGAGTGTGACCTTCACATGCTCTACCTGTTTGTAATAGATCCTGACAAAACAACAAAAAAAAGGACCTGCTCCCAGAAACGGGACATTGTAATCCTGCAAAGTCTTCTATCTTGACATGCTAAACAAAGCCAAAATTGTTTGTGTGGACTCTTACTGGGGGTTCGATATCTTTGATTTCGATATGGTCACTATTGCGATCCCGCATAGGCCCAAAAAGCTGTGCTTTAAATACGGGCGACCGGGCAGCCAAAACCAGCTTGTGGGCATGATACAACTCTCCGTCCACTTCGAACTTCACATCAGCGCCTTCACCACTGTCCAGCAGGGCGCCGAAATGATGTCCCAAGTCTGGCTCAGGAACAGGGATAGAGTACAGTCTAGGACCTTGCGTGGAAGACACTACCACACCGACAGTGCAGGTAATTGCCAAGCTATCGTTCTTCAGGAAATCTGATGTCTCCAGGACGGCACGCCTGAAAAAGCGCTTGTAACCCCACATGCTGCCCCGATACTTAAGAGTGTATGGGCCGCTCTCCAGGGAGCGATCAAAATGACTGTGCACCTTGTGCTTGCCCTTGCCGCTCTGATCCAAGAGGGTCAATTCAAAAAGCGCTCGCACATCTGTGCCCTCGCTAGCTAATGCAATAAAAACCGACACATAAAGAGAATTGTCCTCGGCGTTCTTCCCATCCGGATAAAAGTAGATGGCCCACTGGTAACCCCCAACAGAAAAGCTTTCGCTGGCAATATACTTCCCTACTCCCATGCCTTTGGCTAAAGAATAGCCATTGATTGTAAAATGATGCGAACCATTCACCGTTTCAGTGACACACCTCGAGCGCGTGTTCGAATTACCGGCAACTGTGCACGCCATCGGAGTCCTCGCCATGTTTTCTCTCCTTCATTACCTGTCTTCTCTGTCAAGCGCACAAACTGCTGTCTGTGTCGCGGCGTCTACGTCTGCTTTTATCTCGAAATCCGCCGAACTTTGCCGAATTCATAGAAGACCTACCCTACAACTCAAGCAACGCGCACGTAGAAAATAAAATCCATACGCGAGCCGATCGATATAAGGTACATAAGAGAAAAGCGAAGACAGTCCAAACCAACAAGGTGATAGAGTAAGTTAGCAAGGAGGCGAAAAGGGTGGGCAGGAAGGGAGGCAAGGGGAGCACAGGGAAACCCTGAGAGGAAGGGAGCAGCAAACCTAACGAGGAGGTGAAAGGAAGAACAAGTCCAGGCAGCGGAGAAAGCAACCTAAAGGGGAGGGGGAGGGGGGGGGAGGTGGGGGAGGAGGAAGGGAAGAGGGAAACGATGGAGCGGGGGAGCGGGAGAGGGAGGATGAAGGAACGTTCCGCACTAGTACCGGATATCACACCTGCAACCCACACTCACCCCCATCCCTCCCTCCCTCCCTTCCTCAGCATCGGTTCTCAACAGGAAAAACGGAGAAGGAGGAGGAGAGGAAGGGTGATGGAGGCGGACCAGCTGGAAGGAAGGGGAGGAAGGAAGGACAGAAAGAAAGAAAGAAAAGCAAAGCAAAGCCAGAAAAGTTGACGAGGATGATAATGAGTCTCCCCCCCGACATGCTGCCTGTCAGCAGCCCAGTTGCATCATCGTCCCCCTCCTGCTCATCCTTGGCTGTTGCTGTTTACATCCTTCCTGTCCTCCTCATGTTGCTGCCCGCAGAATTGCAAGAGCACTGCAACCCCTTCTTATTCCCTTCCCTTCCTCTCCCTTCAAATTCATTCGTCCCCCCAGTTGGAGCTCATCTACAGTAAGACATGTAGGTATTCTTATTAATTTATCTTTAACATATGCTCTAACATATTTACAATTTTTTTATTATATATTTTACAATGTCAAAGTCGACAAACAATATTGATAAGAATTAATAAGAAAACCTAAAGTTGGAGGTCATCTACAGTAATTTATAGCTATTAAATTGTTTCTTTGATGAACTAATAAGAATACCCAAGAAACCTTAATAACCAAGTATATTTAGAAAATAAATAGAATGATAATTTTTTGAATAATCAAGATTTTCTAAAAATATTCAATTATAAAAAATTAAAATCAATGATTAAAATATCTAATCTTTAAATTTTGAATCATTTTTTATATTTATTTTCTAAAAAAACCTAAAATATCAAAAATATCAAAATTTTATTTTAATATTCTAATTAGACAAAGGTTTAATTCCTTAAAAAAACTAAAAATTATAGTAAAATAAATATAAAAAGCTAAAAATTTATTAAGCTATAATTTAAGTTACCAAAATAATGATATATATATATACGCACACAAGAAGTTATATGTATTTTCCAGATATATATCTATAAAGTCAAAGTCTATCTTTAAAAGCAACAATATATGTTTTCAATTACTAAAATAAATATATTTAAAAAATAAATCAAATTAAATTATTTAATTGCAATAGAAATTTTATGTTTATATTTTTATTTAAATAAAAATTTATTCCATGGAAATTAGTAGAAACAGTTTAAACTATTGATATTTTTTTGTAAACATTGTAAAGGCTTTTTAGATAAAATATGGATTTAAAATTTATTTTAATGCAATGCATATCTATAGATTGCTCTTTTGGAAGATATTTTTAATTAAAGAAGCTACTAAAAGACTGTTTTACCATGTCAGTACTTATTGCAGATTTATTATAGTACTCAACTATTACTTTTTAATGCAATTATTGATATTTAGTATTTGTAGAGACAATACTAAAAATTTTCTTGTTCTTACCAATAATTATTTTGTAATTATGTTTAATTTAAAAGCCTATATACAATATATTTTTTGATGTTTTTGATGTTTTTATATATTATTATTATTATTATTATTTGAAATCTTTATCTTTTTAATAAATTCTAATATAATTTTAAAAAGATATTAAATTATCTTTCAAATATAGATTTATTTAATTTAAAAAATTATAATATTTAAAGTCCAACTAAAAACAAAAAATTATCTTTAAATTTATACATATATAGTATTTTAAAAAGAAGTTTTATTTATGGAAGAGTCTAAGAATTTTATGGAAGATTTTGAATAGGTAATAATTAAAATTTATAAATAAAAATATATTTTTTAATACTTCTTATTAAATAGTATTGTAGTTTTTATAAATCAAATATAGAAAGTCAGAAACCTAAATTTTTTGAATGATCTTGCTAATTATTGTTAATTCAACACATCTCAAACTACAAAAGTAAATATCTCTATGTAGGTGCAAATGTTCAAATCAAAATGAAATTTGATTAATATTAGAGTTTCTACATATCATTGTTTAATTATTTAATTATATTAATTTATGTTTATTTCTATATAAATTTCTTTAATATTTAAAAATTATAAATTATTAATTTAATAATAAAAACATAATTTTACTTAAAAACATCAATTAAACTATGTCATATTATTAATAATTTAGACATTGTATAAGATTTTTAAATTTATATTAGTCATTTTTTACTTGCCTTAATTTTTGTTGAATTTGAAAAATTATCATATTTAAATATTATATAACAAAGAATAATTCTAAGTTATGATAGGAATAAATAGTTGATCTTAATGTTTCATTCTTAAAATTTTTGAAGAATAATTTTAATGTAAGTATATTTAAATCGTCAATTTATTGCAAATGTAATAAAAAAAACTTATTAGTTTAATATTTAATAGTGAATTATATAAATTTTATTAAATTTATATGTATTATTATATTAAAAAACTCAATAATTATACAAAACTAATAAGAACTAATTTTATTTGCTTTAAAACTAAATAATAAAAGAATTTAGTTTTTTGGATAAATATTTTTTATGATGATTAGGTACAAGAAGAATCACAAAGGTTTAGCCAAAAAAAAACAGTTCATGAGAAAAAAAAAAAAAAAAAAAAAAAAAAAAACTAGTAAATCTAAATCAAGGATAACTCCAAATCTAGCATCTAAGATTGTCTTCTACTATTCTTTGTGCATTGCTTGTGTTTTCAATATAAACTATTAGAAACCATCAAATACATATGTTAAAAAACCAAAGTATTAAAAATATGTTGCAAACCATCATTTAAAATTAATCATATACTAATTTGGTTTTTTATTGGAAATTAAGTGATTAATTGATAATTTATTTTCTTTTACTTCTAATTCTTTTAAAAAAATATAGCTTTGTGTAAGCTCCATCAATGCATCTTAATTGATAGAATTGTTAAAAATAGGGTTTTAATTTATTTAGATAAAAAATTATAAGTACTATAGATTTTATTTGATTATGTAAGTTTATGTAAGAATTTAGAAATTTAATAAGTTACAAGAGTCTTATTATAAAAAAATTATAAAAATTAAGTCTTAGAAGAAATTTTCTTATATTTTTTAGTATTCTTTCTTAGTGGTAAAAACCATTGTTTAGTTATTGAAACCAATATCCACTATTGCCTTCTATCTACATATCATAGTTATTTAAAACTTATAAATATTAAATTGTAGGTAGAAGAAGCATAAAAAATAACTTCATATTATTTTTTCTATTTATGAAAAAATAAGATTATGAATTGATTTAAATAGATTTTATTACTATTAAAAACTACTAAGATAGAAAAAATTAGTCTTAAATTATAAATATTAAGATAAAAAATTATAATAATTTAAAGAATTATTTTAGAATTTGTTTAATAATATTTACATCATATTTTCAAGACTTTGTTTAAAATGATTTTTATTTCCTTATCTGTTATTTTAGACTCTAATTATGCTAATTTTCTTTGTTAATGGACTCCAAAGCAGTAAAATTGTCAACTAAGAATAAAAAAAAAGGACCTTACTAATACTTAAATCATTTTAACTTATTCAATGTGTTTTTTCACAGTTTTGATGTTTTATTTTTTATTTTTTTTATTATTTTATTTTTTATGTTTGTAATGTAAATCCTTTTGATTAATAGATATAATTATTGCCACAATAAAAAAAAATTATCACTTTTGACATGTGGGCTTCCAAATTGAATCTCGTTTTGAGTCCTTTACTTACGTATTTCTTCCTACTTTAATCTTGTCCTAAAGAACTATCCTCTCGTATGTTGTCTCGTTTAAAATCACCAATTGGCTCTTCTTAAGTTAGGTATGTGTTCACTAGATTGTCTAATAATCTTGTAATTAACCATCTTATCCAACTCTTTTTTATTTATGAATTCTAGAATAACACATTAATTTCACATTCTTGACTATGATGTCCAATTTCCTTGATTTGATAAGAGATGCTTCTATTGATAACTTCAAATATACACAAGCTTTTTGTTTCTAAAGCATACAAAGTCATTGGCTACTCACAAGAAATTTTTATGTCAAACCATCTTGAGTCTCTCTACTGTTTTTAATCAATATTATTTTGTATTTATACTCAAGAAAAAAAATTCATATATTAATTTTGTTACTTGTAGTTACACACTCACATACTTAAATATCAAAGATCAATATTTACCTTATTAGACGGTTTTCTTCAAAGTCTATATTAGTAACAATGGCTCATATCCTTGCCACCTAAATTACTTGTAGATTTATCCAAAGATTTTCCAAAGAAAACAACTTCCTTGTTTGCCTTGAAAGAATAGATGATAAATTTTTTTTAATACTCATGACTATCAAACAAATAATATAAGAAAAGCCAAATTGACAATAGTGAGGATAAAATCCATCTTTCAATCAAAATTACAAATGGCTTCAATTAAAAATTACTTGTAATTGATGGTATGAAATAAAGAAAAAAATAGGAGGAAAAGAAGAAAAAATACAAAACAAGTAAAATGAATGAAATCAAGCAATTACACACTCCAAAAATTGGTCATAGTTTATTAACTAAGTTTATATATAATAAAAAATAAAAAATAAAAAAATATATTTAAAATTTTAATTTTATTATCTTTATAATGACGTAATAAATATGGAATTTTAAATTACTATGAATAAATTATGAAGGTTTAAAGATGGCAAGTGAATAATTAAAAAATTAAAGTAAAAATATTTTACTTCAAAAAATAACTTGCTTATAGATCAAGGATTGAAGCTTCATCAAGGCTAACTTGTAGTATATATGGGTATTCTAAAGAGGCCATGTGCTCTTAGAATTATCCTCTTAACTATACTCAAGGTGCTACAACCCATAGGAACTTGTGTACCTCCCTTCTTACAAGGATTAGACCAACTACTGGTCTTCCTATTTTTTATGAATAATTTTTTTTTTGTATTTTGGACGTTATCATGGTATTTAAAA